GGGGGGCGGGGGGGTGAAGTATGAGAAGACAAAGGTTACCTTCCCCTAAACTGTAGCGGATTCGTACATCCCACGCATACATTGTTTCCTTGTTCTCAAATCCCAGCATCACAACTTGAGAGAGACAGATGATTGCAAGCGTGTGATTCAAGCCCTCATAGGAGAGCCCAGGATCCAAGCCACAGATGTCTTCTAAGGTCATGCTGCTCCTCTCCTTATGCCCTTTTGCTCGTTCAGATTTATCCTTGTATACCAGCATGAGCAAACAGTCTAAAAGAAGCAAAACTGTCAGAGATGATGAGGCAGAACATAGAACATAACACATTTCTCAGTACTCTGCTTCAATACAAAGGTGCTTTACACAACTACAGGGTTAGTTTGATCAAGTCAATGTAACTTGGTTTTCTTTTCCCACCCCACCTCGTGTAGTTTGCAGTCACTGAAGCAAACACTGAAGGCATGTTTCAAGGGTAATCTGCAGGCTCAGAAATAAGGAGGAAAGTAAAAAGTTCTCCCTATTTTCCATTGCAAAAATCCAGTGTTTTTTCAGATACTCTCCCAAGTCTGGAAGGGGCTGACTCATTAATTCTGAACATTAGGAGTTACACTATGAGAGCTGTTCACATTACAAACACTGAAGACTGAGAGGCTATTGTCATCTATATTTCCATTAGAACATACTGAACCACAAATGAAATTCTTACAGTAGTTCACAGATTACTCAACTACTAAATGGTGAGCAGCCTCCACTGCCAGATTGTGAGTGTCAGCTCAGGTTTCCTAGCTAAATGTTACACAGTAGCCATTGCTAAATAATCATTATGTGCCACACCTTTTTTTTTTTTTTTTTTTTAAATATCTACTTGTGTCACCATCTGGTTTTAACTCCTTCCTAGAAGTGTTTATTACACAATAACTATGCAACAGATAAAAGTAATTCAAGTGCCATGGTCCCACGGGAAAAGCGCATATCACAAGCAAACCCAAAAGACAAAAAAGAAAAAAAAAGGCAGAGACCTCTTCCACCTTTTTCATTTATAACAAGACCACTCCTCTACCTCCAAGTTCCCTTCCCATCATGTGGCACTCAGTTGTAAACTAAATTAATGGTCAATATCAAAGCTGCAACATCCACAGCTTAAGCTGACCTACATACCACAGAGGAGAAACCCCCCTATGCACCATTTTATGAATGTTGGGGTGTGGTGCTCTGAGCCCTGGCAAGGTGCCCTGTAGCTCTCAGCTGGGCAAAAAAACTGGCAAATCTCCAAAGAGGTGAAAAATGACTGAAAGACTGAACCGTCTGTTAACTAAAGTGGAGCTTTGCATGGACTCCCAATTGTTTTCATGCACCTGTTTGCAAAAACAGCTGCAACTATGATATTTAAGCATTCTGCAATACAGTTGTGTGTCTGAAGAAAGAACAGCTATGGTTTACGGGCCAATAAAAGCAAACAATTGGGAGCTTTTTCTGGTAAACCTGGCTAATTTAACTAAAATAAAAATACTATTTCTGAGAAATAAACTACATTGTCATTCAGTATGTTTTCAATGCAAGGTCACTCATCTTCTCCCTTCAGACTTGGCTTACTCATGTTGGAAATCCAGGCCCATATTTATGTCTAGATACTAGCTCTCAGATCAACAGGTGCCCATTCATGCAGAGAAGTTTAACAGATTCAGCTGAGATACAGGCACTTAAGACACTAACACGTAACTGGAACAATTTAAGCAACAAAGGATTGGGTCTTAAGAGCTTCAATTACTAAGAAAACTTCAGTCTATGGACAACAACCTCTAAAAGGTGTCATCATCCACTCTGCAGCAATGCAGATGTACATTTTTCCAAGCATAGGCAACATTTAGCCCTGAAAACACACACTTCTGGGCCCAAATGTTTTCCCTGTTAGGAATAGATGGGGAAACCTGAAACCTACTTTCCCCTCTCCAGCAGTAAAACATCAACTCTGAGTAACATTTTCAATTTCCCCTTCAGAAGCATGGAAGTGATTTTTCTTTTCTTTTTTTTTTTTTTAATTTAAAATGTCATTTTATTTTTAAATTGCAGTGATATTTTATGTCAAAACACTGATCAGAAATAACTACCGACCTTACAATGCCAGCTTTTTTTTTACAGCCACCAATCACCCTTAAGAAAAAACAATAATTAATTATTTTTTTTTTAATTAAAATTGCATTTTAAAGGGGAACCAAAACCAAAGAGCCGTGCTTTGAAGTCACCTTTCCCACTGGTTTCAGTCAGGGCCTGATATTAAGCTACTTAAAACCTTCAGCTCCGACGCCGGGCACCGCTGGCAGCCCGAGGGACAAACGCGACACCCGGGCACCGGCCGAAGGGCCTCGGCGTCGCAGTCCGGGCTGCCGGCACCCCCCGAGGCGGCGGCTGCGGGTCTGTAACCGTCCCCGCTGAGGAGAAAAAGGGTCCCGGGACGTGAACGGCCGCCAGCCCCAGGCCCCGAGGAGAGGCGAAGCCCCGCCGCTCCGCTCCGCGCTCTCCCCTCGCCGCCACCTTCATGGCACCTCGGGGGGCTCCAGCACTCACCGTCCCCTATTTCTGGCCGCCTGGTCCGCTGCCAGATAATTTACTCCCCCCTCCCACGATTAAAGAAATAAAAAGACCCCAAAGAAATATATAAAAGAGCAGCGACGGCTTGCGGGGAGCCCCGCCGAGGGTGATCTCCAGCGGCAGGTAACCTCGAGGGGAGCCCGGTAAGCTCCCGGCCCCCGGGGCCCCAAACCCTGTCCCCCACCGCCGGGCCCCCCCCTCTTACCTGCCACCGGGGAGGGCTTGCGCAGCACCAGCCACCTACTCTTCCACTGCAGGGAGAGGCAAAAGGAGAGGGTTAGCCAGGGCCGGGGGAGGGAAGAGCGGGCTCTCTCCCCTCCTGGGGAGGGGGTGTCGGTCGGGGACCCCCGGCCCGCCGCGGGGCCGGGCCGAAGGGGCGCTGGGAGCAGGGACCTTTTTTCCGTCTCTCAACTTGACGTGACCCTCCACCACCACGGAATCCGTCATCTTCAGTCATGATTCCGGACAGCTGCGCCCGGCTCGCTGCTCCCTCCCCGCGCTCTGGCCGAGGGGTCACTTTCAAAATAGCTTTATTAGGTCCCCGCACAGGCACAGGGAGCGACGCGGGCGAGCGGCCAGCGCGGCCCGGCCCTCTCTGCCCCACTGGGCCGGGGCAGGGCGTCTTCCGGCGGAGGGGAGAGGGGGTCCCGGGACGCTTTTCACTGGTCCTTTATTCGTGTATTTTACTCTGGTGTCGGGTTGTGTGGGTTTTTTTATTGTTGGGG